GTGGTAGCTATTATTCAAAAATTGCTGGTAGTCTCTAGGTCCGTCTATAAAGAAAATAAAATTGGTTTGCCAGGTTAAGAGTACATTAGTGGTGGTGTGGGACATAATCATGAGAAAATACAATTATCGGTAAGCAGACAACTTGAGTGACTGGGTCGCCATGCATGCTTTAAAATTTATTAGCATTGAAACCCCTTAATCCTGTTGTCCGCATCCCAGTCATAGCAATTATTTCCTTAGCGCTCTAGTTTCAGCCTTATTCTACAGAATATAACTATTAGATTTCTCTAGCCCGCTAGTAGACATGTTGTCTTTGCCTCCGTTATAAATCGAGAGGCCGGTGAATAGGACAGAGAAGAGGATTAAACAAAAGACTAAATCGTAGATATTAAGACCAAGGTGGTGTGGCCTTTTGTTTGGTCGCGGTCTGTTTTATGATGCCCGTGAAAATCATGGGAATGTACTAGGTAAACGGTACGATGCTGATACATGACGGTGGACGTAGGACTAAATACATTCCACACTGTCGCTCCGATCAAGGTGCGAAAGTGAGGTTAAGCCAAAAAAGACTAAATTCATATAAAAGCAAACAGGACATTAGCTGATGAGATGAAGGATTTAGGACATTGGGTAACATTTGGAAGAACATAGCAGGAGTAAGAGATTCTAAATTGACGAAAGAGGAAGGCATCTATCATCGGCTATTAATTGACAAAGCCCCATTTAGTCGTAATCTGCTAATGACAGGTTGCATTGCGCCAAAAACTCGTTAGAAAGACAAAATCATAAACTTAATAAGTAGATATGCAAATTCACAAATCATTGTGCAAAAAAATGACTAGCCGATTTAGGATAATTTACATGTAATATTGATAAAAAATATGGTAGCAAACGACGGAGACTGATGAAAAATTGATCTCTGATAACGAAGAACCAATATGAATTTTTGAGCAAAATTCGAATATACACGCTGGCAAGAAAAATTTCACAAGTTCAATTGGATGGACATTAAGATAGATAAAAAGTGGATGTGCATGCATGTGTGCTTGAAGAGGGTCTAGTGGGATAATAAGAGCATATGGCACATCATGAACAGATAGAAGCTACAAGTAGATACTGATAGTATGCTGGCGCATGGTGGAGAATGTCAGGGGTCAAAGCAAACCAACTTAAACTGAACCCTTCAAATAATAAATTGCCTAAAAAGGAGGCCTCAATTCCTGCATCCAAGCCCTTGATAAAGCTGCACCTCACTGGGAGCCCAAAGCCTGTCGGCGCACTATGATAATGATTTTATTTGAGTGTATAAGCGGTTGTGTCAAAGTTATTCAGTTGCTTAAGCATGTAGAATAGTGTGTATCTGCTTTCATTGCGGGTCAAGAATATGAATAAAGACGGAAGTAAGTAACCATCACCTCCGTTCCTTGCCAGACCTGATAAGGCACATGACCAATTTTTTTTAATCATACCCGCTATGATACCATTTGCTCATGAAAGCAAAAGGAAGCAGCAAATGAATGTGTATAGTTTGTTTTGTACGGGTGTGTATATGAGTATATAAACCAGAGCCTAACTGTTTGGATATGAGACATGCGTCAGGATAATGGGAGATATAGAGAAATAGAGAACGGATAGTCTAGCGCTCATAAGACAGCAGGCATGAAGAAGGAAAACGATGGCCAGGCCTTATTAATTAAGGATTAGAATAAGTTAAATCGCTTTGACCCAATGAGACGAGAAAGTGAATGCAGAAGGATATGATTTTAAGAATATTGAAATGTAATAGGTTTCATTTGAAAATGAATTTAATGTGTGAAATGTATGCGAATTGTGTATGTGAATGTGTGTGTGTGTGAGTAAGGAAAGTGCATAAACAGGTTAATGTACAATAGGATCAAGGATGTTTA